CCCTACAATTAAGTTGCCCATTTTCTTAGTTTCTGAACTCTTATTTCTGTGTGTCTGCATTTAATTTTACTGACATAGCACTCGCTTAAGAACTTCTTGGAGATCTGGTCTGGTACTGGCAAATTTTCAGGTTTTCTTTATCTGGTAAAGTTAGTGTCTTTTCTTCCCAAATGAATGATAATCTTGCTGGGTACCGAATTCTCAGTTGAAATTGCTTTTCCCTTAATACTTTGAATATATTTTCCCATTCTCTCCTCGTTCGCATTGTTTCTGATGAGAGGTCTGCTGTTAGTCTGATGGGATACCCTTTGTAGGTAACTTGCCTTTTTTCTCTTGCCAGTCTTAGTATCTTGTCTTTGTCTGTGGTTTTGGTCAATCTGGCCTCAATAGGTATTTCTGCCACTAAAGAGAAGTGCAGTGATTGTACACCCTTCTTTGCAAGGGCATAGGTCAGTCTTGTATCCACTGTGTAATGTGCAAACTTTTGTTTTCCTGCTGGAGGGCAGATGTGATTTCCATCTATGAAAGTGGGCAAGTGAGCCTAGCAGCTAAACAAAATGTTTCAGAAATGTAATGGTTAACCTCTTACATTAGGTGCATGCATGAGCGGTGGGGCAGGGGTGTCTGCTACTGATGAACTTGACTGTTTTCATATAGATGGCACAAATGTAGGGCTTAGGGGCACACACAACCAGTCTGCTTTTGTTGACTACCTAGCTTACAATTTCCTTTTATTCTGTTTTGGGTCCCACTGGTGAAAGCCAAAGAACCAACAAAAGCCATTTTTTTCCCCCTTTGAGATTTTTGCTACAGGGTACATGCACTTGTCAGAGAGACAAAAAGTAAGAAATCACCCTCTGGGAGCATTGCCATGGCACAATCCTTTCTCTTCCATTCTCCTCTTGGGATCTTGGGCACGCATGCACACACATCCAGCGTGAATTTTTTTTTCTTTGAGAGGTTTTTGCTATAAGGTACGTGCACTCGCCAAACAGAGACAGAAAGTGAGAAATCATCCCCCAGGGGGATGGCCATGCCACAATCCCTTCTCCTCCGTTCTCCTCTCGGGATCTTGGGCGTGCATGCACACGCACCTGGTGTGGGTTTTAAGCCACCAGGTCTGGGATTCGAACCATGGTTGACTACGTGGAAGTCCAGCAACATAGACATTATGTTAACTGCTGGTCCCCCAGCGTGAATTTTTTAGCTGCCAGATCTGGGACTTGAGCCACAGTTGGCTATGTGGGAGTCCAGCAATGTAACCATTATGCCATCTGCTGGTCCCACCATCTCATGTTCTTATTGTACTTCTGTTTACCCTTTTGCTTGGTTTATTTTTGTCAACCTTTTCTTAATTGCCAGATGTGTGCTGTAACTAAGAGAAACAAAGAATGAACCCCTCACCACCACGGCATATGGTCATGCTTGTCCATTTCTCCATCCCGTCGAGATGTGGGGCACATTACACATGCACCTGTTGTGTTTTACAGGTTGCCAGGGACAGGATTCTAACTACAGTCAGCCATGTGGAATGTGGCTCCCTTAACCGGTAGGCTGGGTTAGCCCTCATTTCAATATTTTTAAAAATGACATTGTAACTCCAACCTTGAGTAAGTTTCCTGAGATCCTAAGCAGTTGGTGGTAGAATTAATTCTCCATTTCTCCAGACTGAGTCAAAGGCACTGTCTGTGAAAACACAATGCAGCTGACAAAGCTTTTGGTGTAGAAGACAGCCAGCCCTTAGGTGTTCAGTGTCTTTTTACGACTCTGAGGCAAGTACTTGTATTTCTATTTTAAAGATGAGGGAACAGTCTTCAGAGGCTAAGTATCCTTCTCAAGAATACAGAGTTAATAAAATGCCTGGGATTGAAAATTTGCCCTCAGCCAAAACTTGACCTGAATCATTAAGCTAACTGAACCAGAATGATCTGAAATCGCTGTGCCTCATGCTATCATACTGTAAGTTAGTCCTTGTCTTGGACCTTAAAATGCCGTGAGGTCACATATGTCTTGGTCTGTAGTTTCTTTTTAGCTCCTATTAAAACTCTTAGGCTACAATGTTATGATGCTCCTTATAATGTCACAATGACTCCTAATTCCAAATTGCCATCTGTTCTCTGGCCACTTCCTTGGAGGCAGCTGGAGCAGTAGAGACATGATATATCATCTAGCCTGGTACTCTTCCTTTGTTCTTTCAGAGGGTCTAGTACTGCCACATGCACGTCACCAGCCACAATGGATGCCAGAACATATCTGTGCACAAGGGAAATAGAGAGAGACCATGCTGGATGAGCACGTTCCAGGATACACTCAACTTAGGATGGCCCCATGGCGTGTGTAGGCTGATTGCAAGTTTATAGAGAGTGATTCACAGATGCACCTTGGCAGAGAGCATGCAGTACTGTCTCCTCTTCCAGCTCATTCACTCTGGGCATTCAATGCTACCCAAGTGTGAAAGATATCACAACATTAGAGATTTCTATTGGAAAGAAAGCTTCTCAAAGACAATGCAGTGCAGTGAGTCAGTCTGCAGAGCAGGGCATGTGCAGAGCGAGCTCTGGGGTCATGGCCAGGAGGTAGGAAAGG